CATGACGACAGCTAGGCCCGTCATTCAATAGATCGGTAAACTACTCGTTGGGATTATTATTCGAGAGTGAGTACTTTACGCTATCTGCTCATTTCGATAGTCGATTGATCGATGTCTCTGTGTGTAAGCTATGCCAATTGATTGTGTAAGCGGCTGTTGATAGGCCGTTGCCCCAGGAATGGCCGTTCCAGAGCTGTACTCGATAGTGCAGTAGCATCAAACGGTATCCCTGCTTCCTGCTCCGAGATTACACACCCGATGTGCATCGACCTTCACGAAATAGGAAAAGGGGGCTGGGCCAAACAACACAAGTGGCAGAAAATTGTGCGGTGACTGGATAAGCTAAAGAAGCTAATTGCCCACGAGAATGTGTTAAGGTGAACGACCTCGACAAAAAAAAACTGTCACGGTAGAGAACTTCGATGTTTCTGGAACCACCGATGACGAAAATTGGGAAAACGGGAGAGAACAAAGCGTACGCCCACTTGTTACTGGCATCCGTTGATCATTAGTCGACTTTTCAATGTCACTTTACTTTTGTTAGCTCGATAAAATTCAAGTAATAATAATAATAAATCTAAGAAAGCGAAGAGAAGTGCGTACCTTCTGACCACCCTTACACCTTGATATCATTGAGGTCCCTGAATTGTTCGGGGACGACCGCTGCGATATCGGTTTATACTGCAGACAAGAAATGGGACGAAATATTGTCTCGCTGTTTGTTAACTACCCGACGCAAATTTCCCCGAATTGTGCAGCAGTCAATGGGTTAAGTCTGTTGTAAATGTTTGTTGTTTGCGGCATAGGTAACTTGAATATAGACGTTTATATCATAGATGTAATGAAAGTCAAACACGTTACGTAGAAAAAGCCAAACATATCGTTATAATAAAAACAAGATGTGACGCTTTATGGCACAAGCACCTGACTGCGCTCTATAGTTAGTGCATGTTTTAGGCGTTGCATTCATAAAGTCTTAGTTGAGCAGTGCGCTAGCCGGCTGGCTCCTTTCAGCACGAAACGATTTCGTCTTCAGTGTCTCTAACTTAAGTTGCTATGTTTCGTAACTTAACGTACTTTTGTTTGTAAAAACAAACTTCTCGGCGCAATTGGAGTGGACAACACTCGCTTTGGCACGATGCTATGGATGCATTTTTAAACACAATTCACATAGAAGAAGTGCAATAAAATTCACGCTGGACAACGTCATTGAGTGTTAGCTCCGAATCGAATCGGAAACCAGGCGTGCTCGAATTTGTCACGTTTGTCTATTATGTTTCTACTATAGGGAACAAACGTTAGTTAAGCATCAGTTTAATTATTAAAAGAGCGTTGCTTCAACGGGCCGGTGGCCCCTGCCATCACAAAATGACAACTATCTACGCCCGCTTTTGAACCTAGACCATATCACAATGGGTTCCTGGGTTTAGTAGGCAACCATTGCAGCATCAGGAGAACAAGCCCAGTGCCATAGCCACAGCGGACACCCTCAAGGCTAACAGAAGAAGACGTGGCCAAATAGATTGCCTATTGCTATCGATGTCGCTGTGATCGGTCTAAGGCCGATGTCGAATATCGGAGTACCTGTCACTGTTTTTATCGCGCTTGTTGGCAATGCCGGAGCCTTACTGAAATGATTCGGCTGTTTATCAATGCGAGCAGATAGTTGGCTCTTGCCCCTAAGGCAAGAAGGCTGCTGATGAACATGCAATGTCACGACCAGGTCAATGGGTATCAATGATCAATCTTTGCTGTTTAAAGGTGGCATCACCGAACACAATCGAATGAAGCAGAACACATATGGGTGCGCTCGTTACCGATAGAAAATTCATCAACTTGTTCAATTTGCGCAATGTCATCATATCCACCGAAAGGATACTTCGAGATCGATTGGATTCGAGTACGGCAGGGGGAGTGGTTTCGTTGACAAACGGTGCCGCAAACAACCACGTTACCAATTCCTAGTCTGAAAGGCCAGTCATTGGCATCATTTGATTAAAACAGACAACAGGGAGGACTAACCCATTAAATGTTTGTTTCTTTTCTCTCGTCGAAGAGGTATCGGTTCATTCCAGTACGTTACGTTCTACAATGTCATCGAAATCATCGGTAGTTTTATTGCTTTTGTTTACTATTCTAGTTAGTGCATACAATTGGCATGAAAGCAGCAGCGGATAACTTTTGAATAAATCCTGTTTTGACGTATAGTCGTACTGTGTTTTTGTTGTTCCTGCTTTGCGTTGGAGACGTGCGCCCACGTACCCATTTATCCCAGCTGTACGGGTTGTCTGCGATAGCTATATGTTACCGCATCAAGTTAGTGATCGATTATCTCAAGTCTTGCACGGCAAAATAAGGCCGGTGCTTTCTACTAAGAGTCGGCCGTTGACACACAAATGCTTAACACATCAGTAGAATCAGACATAAATCTCGACATAAACATTTTGAGTGTAGACATTCGCTCAACAAACACGTCAGATCGATCAGACGATCAATTAGGTGCTAGTATCGACTAATATGTAAAATCTCGGCAAAAAGGTGTCCGACAAGCTTTTACTACTATAGCTGTTGCTGAATATTCTGCTAAGGCCAGGTTCTTCAGCCCGCTCGCCACCCTATCGTCTTTTCTTAAGCTTTCGGAAATCACCCATCGTTTATAATAATAGTCCATTCTTCAACGCACACTGGTAGAAAGCCATCTGGATGACGACAGCATTTGCGCTAATCAGACGAGAGCGTTCCTTATCCAGCGTTGTTTCCCGTTAACGTTTTCAGTATCCTTTTGTAACGATGGCAACTGCCGCTGCTGCTAAGTTCGCTTTCAAAATAACGCCGAACCTCTATTATTTCACCTGAGGGAGTGGATACGGTAAGCGGCAAAGACCATAATGATACTGATAGTATTTAGAGGAGGGGGGCAAATGAACATTACTCATTGCGAATAAGGGAATTGGTTTGACAAACTCACAATAGGTTTATTGCAGAGGTTTCAATAGTGCCCTAGTTTAGATGAACGCATTGGTGGGGCCGGCCTGATTCGTAGCTTCACAGTGGGTTTGATTGGGGTTGAAATTCGCTCGGAGTACGCGTTCTCAAATTTACTCAAATGGCATCTGTATAACCCTGCGTTGATCGCGTATCTATGGCAAAGGTATTAATGATTTCATTGAAATTGCTCATATTGGATAGTATCTGTCATGGAAATGTTATGATCTGGATGTCAATGTAACCTTAAAAGTAAATCTTTACGCGGATGCGTGCTAATTACACAGTGGCACCTATGAGCACCGGCTATATGTTTGGATAGGTGTTTCTCCGCGGATGCGGTTATGGAGGGCGCCTGTAGAACAGTGACTGATAGCAAGTACATAGCAAATATGTCAATGTTCAGGTATGGCTGCTTCAGGGGTGCCCGTACGATCGAGAGACTGCGAACGACGCCATTTTTCGACACCATCATTAGCTACGAATTGTGACGGTGCTAACGATTTCTGAACAACAACAACAACAACAACGATAGTGTTGGGCCTATCATATAAACTGCTGTACGCGCCTGAAAATAGGCTCGGCGTGTAGGTGATTCTGTTTTGAGTCACTGGCCAGTTTCCACTCACGGCTAGAACAGCAGCAACTTATCGAACCTACAAACGGCTAAAGCAAAAAAAAAAAATGCTGTATGTGTTTTTTTTCTACTGTTCGTAAAATCAGACAGAAAAATGAGAATAGAGCTGGTAAAAGAGCAGCTGTTGCCAATCAATAAGTGAAATGAAAATACATAGATACTGAACGGGAACGTTACTGAACAATGTAGCATTTATCTATCACAGGTGCTACCGCCAATTGTTTGACAAATGGTAAATTGTTCAGCCAAGAAGCTTATTCGTCCACATGGAAGTGTGAGGAACATTTGCTCAAAGACCGAGACAAGCAAAAGATCGCCATACATCCGGCTAAGCATTCACCGTCATCCGTCATATCCCCATAGATGCTGTACGTTTTTTTCGTGGACATAACGAACTCTAAAGTTTTTGATTGGGATCCCAACACGAAAAATCGTTTAGATTAACAAATTACCTCCTGTAGCCTATAACTCAGTTTATCAAGCCGGTAGCCCAGCAGGAGATTTTGTGTTAGACTAACAACATTAATGCAAATATTTTTTTAATCGTTTCGATATTTGTGTTACACAAACAGCACCAACATCAACAACAACAACAACAATACACTATACGAACTAGACAAACAGGTTTGTCGTTTGTTGTTGTTGTTGTTGTTCTTCGTGTTGGTGCCTTCTTTCGAGCTTTACATATTGGGTATCGCCGTATGAGTGCATCTGTGCCATATATCGTACCAACAGACTAAGGGTTGCCAATTTCCGCTGCCTCTGTCTCGTTGCTACTTCTCACATCAGAACAGTCCGGTGGGCGTTTCAAACTACTTAACCTGATCAGTAAACCTGATCAATATCCATACAATATAACTTAACCGCCCAGATGCAGCATCTACCCGTTTAAAGTTGTATCAACTAATAGTGAAACGGTACGATTTCATAAAGTAAAAATTATCTTCTCCTTTCTATAACATCGTCGCACTATTGCTAATCCGTAATATCGTAGGGAATCAGATACCTCAAACTTAAGTCCGTATGATAGGATAGAGAACCTATGCACAATGAATAGCATAGAGCACTTGTATGCGTTCGAGGCTACCTGTCTGCGCTGACTCTCGTTAGATGGCTTAATGGGCCACGGAAGGGAAAGGTAAAATCTCTGCTTGTCGTTTATTTTGTTTCGCCGGTTACTCATATCGTATCTCAAAGTAATTTTGCTTATGGTCGTCCTGCATAATGTTTGGCCTTATCTTGTATTTGTTTATACTAACGATCATAATATATAACGGTGCCGGGCTGATCCGCGTGTTTGAAACACGCGGGATGCGCGTCCACTGCCGAATGAAAAAGTAGACCCCCTAACTAATTAGAAAAATATCTACAGACTTACCAAATTGATTAGCGTCGAACTTGTGTTGCGTCAATGGTAAATGTGTTATTTTCTTTTGTAGAAGAGTTCGGCCATGAAGCGAGGCTCGATCTGTCCAAATGAAAAACATAAAGAAAACAGGCACTTCTAATTTCGTATACGCCTTGTGACACGTGCAGAATGGTATAATCCAATGCTGAGCTGAGTATTTTAACACTTTGTGGGCCGCACAGCCTTTGACATTCGTAGCCTGTGAATGAACAATGAGGACACATTCGCGGCAGCGAATATTTTATCCCTGTTCGCCGCCCAAAACAAGGCCATGCATCGAATTATTTAGGTGCATCCGGCCTGGCTCATGCCCCAGTATCAGCTGAATAGGACAAAGCAGGGCTCGAGTGCACGTGGAATGACAATCAATATCGCGGTAGTATAGATCTGTTGGCATCGCGCGGAGCCACAAGAAGGGGGTCTAAATTTCTGATCTCTAACTGTTCGAATTGCTTTTTGATGTTCCCAGTTCATCGCTAGGTCCTATGGATCGTTTTCTTTGTTGGCTGTTTTGTTAACTCTATTTGCTAAAGGTAGAAAAGCTAACGGAATATATAGCTTCCAATAAAGTTTACGTATTCGGTGAAAAACGTCCGCTCAACTTGGAAATTCCGCAAAGCTTCTTCGTCGAGGTTTTGTTGATATTATAAATGTTCTATTTTTAATAATACCTGGTGTATGGTATATGTCGATTATAGAACTGCAGATGCGGGTGTCGTTATTTTAGTGGCTGTTCTACAAACAAACCTATGCTCTCTGCTTGAAATTTAGATTGAAAAATGCGAAATGGACCGCTACGTATCCTGTTTGACCTAGTTAGAATCTACTGCATACGCAAGTTACTTTCGATAATTAGGTGGAAACGCTTTTTAGCGGGACACGTTTATCAATCTGCCGGTTAGCCGTTACACTTTGCTAGACAAATCCTGTTAAACAAGGTGCTATTGTATGTTTTGCTCCACATTGAGACGTGGCTTAAGGGGTTTACCTCCAAGATTAGTTAGCATAAAATGACTATGAGCTAGATCGTGCCAGCCGTAGTATCCTACGAGTTATGTCCGATAACAGTGCTGCAGAACGTAACACTCCAAATGCCAAATAGGTTTACAATTAAGTAATTTACAAATGCCTACTTAATTAAATTTTGTAATTTTAAGTCGTAGCAAATTTTACATAAAAAATAATTAAATTATTAAAAGAAATACAATTGTTATTTCAGGAATAAGCGGTTTGTTGAGATTTGTACCTCTACCAGTCAAATTGCAATAAGCTGCTTCTTCGGGAAGTGAATCCGTCAAAAAATCGACTACATGTAGAAAGTCATATTATTACGCCTAGTCCAGGCTAGTTTAAAGCACAAAAAATATATATATAATGATAAGGATAATAACTAAATCCCTCATTTCGAGCATATTATATTCAACATTTCATAAGGCGCATTCCCCGTCAAACATCGTATACTAGGAATTGAAATATATACATCATTTTCATTTTTATATAAATAAAGAAAGCTAAACCTCTGCTAGTAACAGCAAGTAACAGCCTACAATCCCAGGTCCATCGATGCCGTTGGGCTAAACCGAATACGTCCATTTTACATTCGTTTCACACACACGTTGCCTACCGCTCATCGCGGTCTCCGATCTGTCAGCTATTTGCCATTGGCTTGCTTCTGCCTCTACCGATCGTTGGCACATTCTCTCGTTACTTGATAATCGTCCACAGGCATCTTCTTTGTAACCTAGCAATATCTAAACGCCACAGTCACAACGCATAAAAGCCATAGTTTACCGTCCATTTACAGTTCTTAGCGTTCAATCAAACCTTACTCATCATTGCCCAATATAAGCAATGTAGAACAACTTGGTGAAGCGTCGAATCTCGGCCGTCCACTTCTGAAAACGTCACATCACAATACGCAACTGCGAGCAGGGCGATATACGATCGGCCCCGGGTTTGTTTATTTTCCAGCCGCTTCATCGGCACGAAGCATCATTCATGAAAATTAGTGAGCCTGCTTATATATAGGCGCTTGAACATGTCATTTATCTGGGCTCGTAGGCGCTGGAGATGTCCACTGGTTGGTGTTCGGTCTTAGGAAACTTTATCTAGAGTGGAACGAATGACCGGTACCAGAGACTAACTTTTGCCTTTGCTTCTGCTATTATTAGTATTGACGCTGACTAATTTCATAGTTTCGAACTAAATATATCTTTAGCCATCTTTTATTCGGATCTCTGTTTCTGTCTTTCCAAGTTGAATAAAAACGACGCATCGTACAAATCGTGAAGGTGTCACCATTCATTCTCCTGATGACGCCCAGATGACGATAGTGAACAAAGTCTTCTCAGCGCCCTGACACCGGTCACGCACAGGACGGATTCGGTGCGCGAAGGGTAATGTCTTTGTTTAGATGCACTAATATTACGACGAGAACTACTGTATATATGCACTGGGGTATGGGCTTTGGTAATTACCCCGTTTCTCCGTTCCTCTCTCTTGACGATACAGAGGAGATTATATGTTGAACGCTGCTGTGTTACGTTAACGGCGGCGATTGGGAGCAGTGTTTTCACCCAGGGTCGGGCTGTCCACCCCTACCATCTTTCCGCATTCGACCTCAATGCATGTTCTTAGCAATAACAGTGGCAATTGTCTGTTAAGCTAAGAGCAGCGGCGATGTTGCCATCATCTCATCGATTTGCGAGCCAGAAGCGTCTTAGCCAGTCGGATGAAAAGATTCATTCTGTTGGTTCTCGCGACAGCTGCCGCCATAACCACTAGGTCAGAATCGAAATCAGCTCAGCTCGGCTGAGCTGTCTTCAGACAAAAGTCTGTGTTTGTCTCTCGCCCCGATCGAATGATGACGACGCAGGAGGCACGGACAATAGCAAGAGTCGCCAGAAGCGCGTGTAGTTACTACGATAGCGACAACGCCTTTAACCTACAGCAAATATGCCTTATAGTAGGAAGAGGTCCCTTAGACTGGAGATTGGTCTTATCCATACCACCTACTTCCAAATAACTGGGTTTCGTCGACGCCCTCCGGTGCTCAAATGGCCCGCCAGCTTCGTCTAGCTCCTAGCAAAGGCGCGGGTCTTGGCTTAACGGCTATGAGCTCGTAGCGGAGCTTATGGTAAAAACTTTCTTGCTAGTCTTTGCCTTTTATTCGGCCTTAGTTCCTTGCAGGCAGCGTTGTTGTGCTCTGTCAGTGCGCGAGTGCAGCTTTTGTATCGTCATTGGGTCCTGGACGCAAAGCATTTCAAGGTGGACGGCGGAGGAAGAAGCGAGCAAGCAGCAATGAGCCATCAGGAAAGGAATGGAAAAAAAAAAGTCCAGAAAGCATCGTCATGAGCATGCGTGTACTTCTATCGTCGACTGAGTACTTCGTGCTCTGTCAGCGGTCGGTGCAGCAGCTGTTGTTATACTGTGATGGCCGTTTATAACTGAGTATCTAACAAAGGGCAAAACATGTACATTTTGACATATTGAGGTAGTACTAGAGAGCCGTAGATAGAACGGGCCGAAAGGTGGTGAATGGTAGTGAATCGGTTTTGGCCTTAACACACACCGGGTTATGCTATTGGTTAGAAGAAAAAGAAACGAATTAAAATGCTAACACCATGAGCTGATTTATTATACGAACTTCATGTATCGACGCAGCTGTATCAAGACACGTATGTATACAGTAGAGCGGTAATACAAAAAGGAGATGCAGTACAATGATGGCCTTGAATGAAACCGTCGCGACTGCCAAGGTAGGTCTACAAATAGGCTATAAACAAATAATTATTCTGCAGATACAGACCAAAGGAGCCTTTTTACCGGGATTTTGGGAAGTGTAAAGTGCAGAAACAGCACAAGCCTTCACTAGACGAAACACACATCAGGTTTCCATATATTGCCAAGCCGCTTGTTCGATTCTATAATGTCCTATATACGTAATATCGGGATCATAGCATTAAAGGCAAGCCAACGAATAATCTGGGTCCTACTTACATGACCTTCTGTGTAATTTTTACAGAAAAGACCTGAGGCATGTCTTATTATTGATTCATAGTCCCCCCCCCCCCCCCCCCCAACAGGAAAAGTACCACATCTGTTCGTTGACTATATTCGAATTAAGCAAAACCTTATATTATTCTCTAGCTCGATAATGCCTTTTTTTTAATTCCATACCGACGTAGCCTTTTCGTGCTGCCTGGTTCCAGTTCCAATCAAAGAAGCTCCTACACTCACAACATAAACAAAACATAAGAAAAATCATCATATAAATACGACCATTTCCGTTCTCTGCTGCTGTTTTTTTTTTTATTATAGTAGAAAAGACACTACTACCTATAATGGGTACTTGTTGATTTAGGGTGTGGGACATAGTTGCACAAATCGTCGGTGCTCCAGTTACCCTGCTGTCACCCATCAATTCCGAAAAGGCTCAACATTGGTAAAAGATCAGGGCCTACAAAAGGCTCAGAGTTTACTCCTGGCCGGCTTTCTGCAAGCTGTACTTCGTCAAAAGTTTACTTCACATAATTCATGATTATTTATTTATTTGTTTGCTTATCGACCTGTAATAACATAGTTATTGTTGTTATCGCGGTCTTGCAGCCAATCCATATACTCGTTGCATTGTCCTACGAAAGTACGCAAAAGCACGGTAGTATTTTCTGTGAGTTGCGTGAGAAACCGTTCGGGCCCGTTGAGCAATATGTTGTTACTTTTACTTCGGCCCGATGAGCCCATCCTCCATAACATTGTTACTGGGTATAGGGCATGATTATGCTCTTTTAACGAATGATCGACGAGCGTCTTTCTTTTAGTTTGCTAAAGGGACTTTATCTTAAATAGCGACCCCGTCACATACGGGATACTTATTTGTATTTGCTTGGTCTATTCGATAACGGCATGTTCATTCATAATTACAGCCGGTTTTAAACCTATGATTTTTTTACCGTTTAACTATTTGGGCGACATAAACAGGCTAAGGTAAGCGATCGTTGAGCCTTATTGATGAGATTCGGTCATTTTTCTAGTCTGCTTACTCTGTTACCCACTCATGGCTAGCATGTCACAGTCAGCCAGAAACTGTTTAAAATACCATAATATATAATCATTTATAGGCTTCTTTTCATCTAAATATTATTGATGAAATGTGAAGTAGCACTCTAACTTTCGATACACATAGAGCGGTTTGTTTAGACTGTACTCACCCATTTGACAAACTAGTTTCGTAACTTTGCTATTTATTTTATTAATTTTAGCATTTTTAATCGCTAAGAAAGAATCGATAAGATTGTTCTTATCTTCATGCAGGACCTTCAATTTTCTCAGAGCAAATATCATATGAAATTGACCTATTTGTATTTTATTACAAAATGCTTCTTTTTTAGTTCAGCCGGATGAATTTGCATATATTTTACGGTTACCTTAATTCGGTAACATCTGTCCTTCCTTAGGTACCAAATGACGGCAGACTACTTCCATTTCTATGGCAACTACCTCATCATAGACTGAACGCTCGTTGAGCGTGTATAACTGCTGTGGATAGCACAAAAATTTGTCGTTATTGTGCTTCCAGGCTTGTGCATGCTTAGAGATGGCTAATTAATTACAGTCTCTTTGTTACCACACGTATATCCATATCAATAGCTAGTTTGGGCAACAACGATTTAGCCCGGGTTTGCTAACACAAGCCTTGCCATTGACAGTATGTACGATTAAACCAAGGAGGCCAGGTATACCTTGTGTGCATAGATGGGGACACAGGGAGTTACACCCGTGTACACCCCTTTCGAACAGATCATTTTCACAAAGACGGTCGCGAAGAGCTCGCGGCCATCTTTCCGTAATCGTAGTTTGCACCACGGTGCGATGTCACAAGATGGCTGGAAATTTGTGTAACTTCGAAGCTTACTGCTGTTGCTGTTTCCACTTTTGAACAGTCGTATGCGAACCTGCTTGGCAAAATCAAGTCAAAATTTATCATATATTGTACACAGTTGTAACAAAACCCTGATATCACATCGAGTAACCGACCAATCCATTGACTTCAGACGCAATCACCAGCCGGACTCATCAGTTGAACGCGGCCATATGGCAACGAGAGGGGGTTGTATTGATGATGACCACAAAGCAGTGAAATAAGCAGCACGCCTCAACAAGCGACGATGGAAAGGGGCCTCACGCTGCCACCGCTGCAAATTCGAAACTGACGATGTGTATCAAGCATGCACCTGTAGCTGTTGCTCCCCTGAAAGATCCGCACGACCCTCTACTTCACATGGCCGCTCACTACTTGAGTGTATTGGGCGATTTTCGATCCATTCAACTCCGCGAGTGACTGGAGAGAACTCGGGTGAAGTAAAGTGACTGATCCCTTTGGCGATCAAACGGGCCCCCAATAGCAATTCCAACAAGAACGAAATGGTCCATCTTTTTTGCTATTTCCCTGTCTAAATCAGCCAATTATAGCAACTTTTCGAGTGGCCATTTTCGCGCCGCAGTCAAGAAGGTAAATCAACCCAAGTCATGGCGAATCAATGCGATTCTCCTTAAGGCACCCTACGCTTTTGGCACTATCGATACCATAGGCCGTTGGAGTGGTGGAAATTATATCACTGCTATGACTTCGACGGTCATCGCCACCATTGGTACATTCGAAGCCTTCAGTACGGCGAGAGATAACGACATGCATATCGAGCCGCTCTGCTTTCGTCTGATATTGTGTTTTTTTTTTTTGTATTTAATGCTCCTTGCACCTGATTGCTGTTGTTTAATGACTAGCGCTATTATCGCTGCTATGCGACGTCTTTTTCTACGTTTGTTGTTCGTTTCCTGAGTATTTCTTGATGTCTGTTGCTGTCTTGCCTGATTTTATACCTTATTCTCTTTTTTTTACGTTGTCCATCTCCCTGTGTCCGTCCATTCATCACTGTATCCACCCCTCATTCAATTGTGCCTCTTCTTTTCCTTTGCCAAAAGGAAACTGCTAAGAATCTCCGTCATTGCCGTCGGTGCTCACGCAGGTGGATAGCGTTGTGGAGTGCTGTTTTCTAGTCTGGGTTCGGCTTGTATGGCCGCTGATCCCGATCTATAGCGTAACGCAGACACGTAGATATAAGGAGAGATCGACAGCTAGCCATCGTCCTGCCAGGTAATGACGACGCGAAGGAGATGATCGTGCAGGACTATCTACCAGAATCGCATTGCAAACCGATACACAACAACGAATAGTCGTGACTAATATCTGTAGTGTGGTGGCAGTAACATATGGGAAGAAAAACGGTAATGGCCTCCATATATATATATATATATATATATTATAAGTAACCTTCAAAATTTCGAAGAGAAGGTTTTCAAATTTGACAAGAGGCTTTTGATACATTCTGTATATGCGTTTCGTGTACAGGCAAACTTGGCGCGATGTCATGGTGAGTATCGTTACCCTCTTTCTGAGATGCTGATGGCTTTTTTAACGGAAAATTTTTCCACTTCACCCTCGCTTTATTGTACTACTAATAAACTAATATTTGCTCGATTATAAATACTCGGCTTTATTTCGTGACTTATATATAAATTTATTTATTTCACTGTTCCACTGGGTAACGGAGTAATATGCTCTTTTCTGACGTCGGTTCGTATATTTATAAATATTTGCATATTATATCGCATTTTTCTCTTCTGTACATGACCCACTAACGCGTGGGTCGCCAGGTTAGGGGCTGGGTTATACGTTTGAAAAGATTTTCATAGACGTATATTTATTTAGCTAGTTATTTCTACTTTTCTTCACAGTCTATGAACTCGGTTTATTGTTAATTGAAGCCGTAGTCCTGCTAGACCACATGTATCCCATGTGCCTATATAGGGTTTTTGCCACAAAGTTAATCAACCCCAATGAAACAGTTTTACGTCGATACTGTATACTGACTTAAAAACAAAGAGTCGATATTTGCAATCAACGCCATCATCAACATTCAACAATGCTGTGGTATAGTAGCGTCCAGAAACAATCCACATAGTTAATATTGAATTATTAGTTCATCCATTGTCTTTTGTTATACGAATCACTTAAAGACTATAGCCATGTCAAGTTGGGTACATTTTCGCTTCTTCGTCTTCGTCTCTCCGTAATTCTCTAGTAAACGTATTTGCCGCCGCGGACATAAAATGCCCGCCTGTTTTTACATCAATCGAAGACTTAGCAGTGGCGTTCTTTGTCAGCGCATTCGCGTAGAGACGGCGCGATCCGTTCTGTTAATCTTTTTTTCCGCTTTCAAGCAAGCTGCACCGTGGCTACTTTCTAGTAGGGGGTACAGATAATTTTTATCATTATCGTCATGGTGGTCAGCAATTTTTCTTGTATATATATGTGCGGCAAATACACAGTGCCTGTTTCCTTTTCCACGATCTTCATGTAGGTCGATCTGTGGGTCCCGAAGAAGTCGCAGTACGGCCGCCCAGGTTTCGAGAAAACAACAAAAAAAATAACAGAATAAGAAAAGCCACTCCTTAGAAAAACATCCGCGTTTTCCCAGGCGGATGTTTTTCTAAGGAGCGCTCATCGCGTATGTAATGGTGGCGAGATTACTGGTTGGCTACGGGAACTACGATGACCGGATTTCCAGTGGGCCTTATTCGATTCTCTAAATATAATGCACGGCTGCTTGTTTTCTGGTAACCGGGAGAGCCGTCTTGTTCTGCTGGTACCGCGGACGACAGTTACACGATCGCCTCGAGAAGTCCTCCCGAAAAGGGATGGTGTGTCGTGGGTCGTGGAGGAGCTTCCTTGTTATTATAGACCACATCAGGATGTCGTTGTTCACGTTTTTCGAACACACTAAACGAATCCGAATAGTCATTATTTGGGAAGTTCCCTTCCCTGTAAGTTGTCTCGTGAAAATCGGTCTTCTGGAAACCGCCTTCGACAGGCCGCGAGATGAGGGAAGTCTCTATCCACATCTTGTCATGGTAAACTTCTGAGGTAAGCAGAGCAGATGAATCAAAGCTCGTCTCAAGATAGCTTTGCTGATCTTCGGAAAGAACCGAGTTGTTGACGGCCTGCACAAACGAGTAGCGTTCACTGCCATAGCGTTTCTCTTCAAAGGACGACGAATACTCAGTGCTGTCCGAACTGCCAAAGTCCTTTGTTCGGCGGGTCTCGAAAGGAGAAGATACTCCGACCTCGCAGGTCCTTCGCCAACCCGTATAGGGTGGGTTCATTGTTGTTGTGGATGCGCATGTCGTCGCCGGAATTCGTCTGGACGAATTGTGCCGCGTTGTGGTTTGTTGCTGTGCTCGATGTTGCTGCGCAGTCTGATCGTGATGTAAGTCGGAGATAGTAGAGTGTTGAGAGTTGATCCAGTTCTGAGTTTTTTCCATACTCTCATGTTCGGCTTCGGAGTTTGGCGTCGGCGGACTGCTCCTACGAATCGAGCTGAAGCTCCTCCAGGACGGCGTTGTCGTTCTAAAGATGGATATATCTCGTTTCGGGGCTCCGCTTGCACTCGTCGTCGAGTGGACGCTACGGAACGACTCATAATCAGGTCGATTACGGATGAATCGCTCACTAGACATGGCAGGTGTGCCACGACCAGACAAAATCGACGCCCGGCTTGACGGCCGGCTCGACTTCGTGTACCAATCGGGCAGGTTGAGGTTTTTAAGAGATTTTTCAACTCGTAGCTCATACTCGGATTTAGCTGCTGTCAAGCGATTGCACGGAATAGGGACGTCATCTTCATCATCGGTTGTGCCGCTAGCGCCTCCATCCTCCGATGAACCACCGGCACCCACTGAGCTGCCCGACTTTTTGGCAAGATGGGTCGTTGACACGGAACGTTCGCTGAGTTCAGGAAACACCGGCTCAACGGACACCTTTGCTGAAACCGGCAGTATCCAGTTGTCGTCTTCGTCGAATTCCAGGAAACCGAGACTCTTACTGCGTCGACGCATATCCGGTGGCTGGGCAAGCAATGGATGATTTTTGTATCGGCGATATGTGTCCGTGGATTTAATCGAGTTGACGATACGATCGAATTCCGATATCTTGCAGCTGCTGGTATTAATACTATTAGCTCCTACTGCTGCCCCCAAAGGCGTTGTTGTCTGAGTATAATTAGCTTGAGTCTGGCCGATCACAGACGGTTCTCGGTTTTCCTTATTGCCGCCATTGCTAAAATCTCTGACAGGTGTAGGCGGTGGAGGAGATGAGGGCTTTTTTGGTGGAAGTGGTGGCTTTTTGTGGGTGAAGTAGGAACTGAACGATTTGCTAGCTGATACTGAACCGGGATTGTCCAGCTCGGTGACAGTGGCACTATTACGTTGTGGAACGAATAGCGAACTGTCGAATGTCTGGTTCAAGTTGCCGCGCGATTTGGATAGATGCTGACTCACCCTAATATTGGCGTTCTCCTCGAGCGCCGTTAGGTCGGGTGTAGATTTTGCGAGGTTCTTCGTTGCCTCCTGCGTGGAGCGGGTAAATTTTTCGAGTTTTTCGTCGACCAGATTTGTGATGTTCATGTTAGGGTCTGGGCCATTTCGCGCAGACTGGGGACAAGCCACCTGTTCGAAGAAGGCTTGTCTAGATGCGATCAGTCGGCCGCGGGCCCGACTAACTGAACGATCGTAGTAATCCATCGCGATTTGTAGGTGCGTGTGATTTTTCCCTCCTATTTTTTTTGTTGTCGTTGATGTTGAATTGTTTCCTATGACTGCAAATGGCAGTTTGCTGATCGTTGGCTCGGAGCAGTCATGCAACTGGTACAGGACACCTATTCAGCCGGTGGTACTCAGGAAGTGGCAATCTTCATGATATCTGCCGTGGCAGATCCAAGAGAAAGCAGGATTCCACCTGAAACCCCACAATGCAAAGCAGGTTAGCAACAGTTCAGCAATAAAAGGTTGGCCTAAATTATTCGGTCAAGCATCTGAAGTAGCGTAGATTCGCAGCCTTCGAAACTGGTCGGGTGGAACGGACAGTAATTAATCCGAAGTCTGCGTACGGTTCTGCGAAATTATTCTTTTTGCGTATATTTCTAAATACGTCTGAAGTGTTGTGGGTTATTTGGGCAGTGTGATTACTTTGCTATTTATACGTATTGTCATGATCGAGTGTTTATCAACGTCAGCTTCATCATAAGACGCTTATTAGGATACACATACAATGTGCTACCTTTTAGGTTGCACCGCCAATCTCTATTTCCATAGAACAAAGACGACCTGTAACACCTTCCTAACTAATCTATTTGTTTTGGCCAGTGGTCGTCTGTGGCCTGGCACATTTTACACGATGTATGCTACGTCGATGCTTCAAGTAACAATAGATAACCGAAGACTTCATTGTCCTCAGCTGCGAACGCAGCTGCATAAGCGGCCATAACGACAAAAGTCGCGCCACGACAACGTCAATGACCGTTGTTGGTAACTGTAGATATACTTACTAATCGTGTGATAATAACCTGCAAACAGCGTTATTGTCTGAAGCGTCGCGTCTGTGATCTCACCTGCTATCGAGGACGCGATGCGCAAACTATACCGAAACCGTGAACGAGTCCCTGTTTATCTGCATTAGTGCATTCTATCTGCACCTGTATTGCAACTACTATATATTTGGAATACATAATCCATAGAAAGAATACGGTTCGTCCATTGGTGATCCTTTGTGTTCGTGGGATAGGCGGGCGGGCAAGGGGGTCGAAGCGAGGGCGAGGGCGAGGGCGAGGGCGAGGGCGAGGGCGAGGGGGAGGGGGTATGAACCTTGTTACGGTTTCCTGCATTTTTTATGTAAACAACTTGCTGTATCGATTTCGTAAGCTAGTCTTACAGCCGCTGCAGGCATAATTTATGTCCGCGTTAACGTGGCCAATCAAGGCCACTATCTATTAACAGTATGTTCAGAGTGTATAAATATATGCAATATGGAAGTTATTTAAACAGGTCGTCGAACTCGTCAACTGCCAAATTTATAATGAGCCTGAATAGGTGAAAGCAGCGATGTGTTATGTAAGTAATCAGGAACTTACTTTTCCAACTCCAAGAACTTAATGAAACTCCACTATATGTTATTGTGGTTTATGGATTTTCGCTCAAATCTGCTTACATTCTAGCCATAGAACATAGCTTACTTTCTTGAACTCACGTGGTCTATTGCTTAACAACAATAACAGCAACTGCTTTCGAAATACAAACATACTTAAACGTGTCTAGCTTGGTACGTGAAGAATTAGCTTTAGGATGTGCACCTTTCTCGCGGCATAGTGTACATGTTCATGACGCAAACTCATCCGCGAAAGCCTCAAGTTCATTTTATCGGCTATGGAATACAGAATTTGCACAATAGAAGGTTTCTACAATAAACTGAATAACCCAATTAAAAGATATCATGCCAAAACAGTTGTTATGTCTTTTGCTACCTTGTATTGAATAGCTACAAGCTTCAAGGCATTTGACCAAGCCTGTGGGTAGAATATTCTTCGTGGCGATTTGCAAAGTCTTCCACATAGAATCGTCTAGATAAAGGTAGAAGACAAACGAAAAAGCCCAGTGAGAGTACGCTGAAAACGCACTTGGTCTGTTTGGCGACCCTTGGTCGAAAGATACGCTTCAAGATCGTAAGTTTTTCCTCTCCTGAAAAAGGTTTTCTAATGACGTCTAGCTTTATAGACGACACCAGACGCGAAGCTATTTTTAAGGTACACAGGATAATTTTGCTGCGACGGCAACAACTATCGAAACAGTAACCAGAAACATGACGGAGGGCATTTCCTTTAACTTCTACGGGATGTACATACTCATCATGAGCGTAGAAATTACATATAGAGAGAGAGAGAGAGAGAGAGAGAGAGAATTTGTGTCTGTATATCTAACAGCGTCGTAACGACTGTCTACATCTTCGCAAAAAATGATAATCTCTAAAATTCGTTGAATATACAATTATTTCTCACCTCAAAGCATTAAATATTTGGTTTTCTAAAAAATACTGAGGGTTTTTAAACCAAAATTTAAGTAATTACTTTTCGCATCTTACTGAATGAAATGTGTGCTATTTTGGGCGCTGACCTTCTACTGATCACTACTATACTATAAAATTTCAAGTGAGAATTGTGACAAATGGCTTTCCTCCATTGAAACCAAATTAATAACATCAAGGAAGTCCTGCAGAAACAGATAATCGCCTAGTTGGTCGAAGACCCGTATGATGCGGGACATGTGTTAGAATTTTTCATTCAAATTCTTTCAGTTTTTGCTAGATGGTCAGAGACGTATACGGTTATATAAAAATTTTAGTAACGAAAACAGACGCCCCTTCTGTTCATTTGTTCCAGTCGATTTCTTCAACGGCTTGTTCTAGTCTTGTTGGTTGCGGCCGGTAGAGGTCGCAGTTAATCGTTTTGCCAGGTGGCAGCAGCTCACGATGCCCGTTGAATCTTCTTCGACATCTGCCCAGGCTTTGTCACGGGCTGTAGAAGTTCCGCTCGCTCTGACTACGGTATTTTCGCACATTATTATCATATGTGATTCATTTTTCGTCACTCGCGATAAATCGACCGCTTAAAAATGGCTCGGTTCCGTTTCATTACCGATATGTCGTACCGCAGATGCAAACACGATCGAATAAACTCTTTTACGTCAAATTCATGTGGCACCAAAATATCGAGCTTCTTTTTGTAACCAGCTCTTCCCGAACGCATGAAAGCTATCAGCTGGTAAATGCTTGGGTCCTTAGTGGTGTCATGGCCGCTCACATGTCTGTCCTACTCAACTCTTGCGATAATTTCATTAAATTCTTTCGTATTTGGTCGACCATTTCCACAACCACAAAGCTACGTTTCGCATTGAAATTTCCAAAACGAAGCCATCTTTGGGCCCTTTGCTCCAGTATCACATCTTGGTAATAAACAGGACAGTCTTCTTTTATTTTCAGTAGAATTTTTCGTAATAGGACTGCATAGTGTAGCGAACCTTTGCAGAAATTTCGCCCACCTTCAAAGCGCTCTACCGCAAGTGTGAATTTAAACATATCCGGACATTTTTGGCAGATCTACTAGGGGCAAATCTCAGCTCTTAAACGACAGCAAGGTCAGCCCGCGACTCGTTTTATCTCACGCGTTTGGCGTGTCTAGCTGAAAAAACCCGTGAAGTTTTTCAACAATCCAATGTATCAATTGTGCGTTCCCAGTAACCCCGTAAAGCACTGTGAGCTCTAGTGAATAAATCACTTTTGACATTTACATAAACGTCTCTAAATGTATAATTGGACATCAGTCCGGTACAGTTGTTCAAGCGGCTGGTCCTTAACACAAAACGAAGTCTACTCAGGCCCCATTTAGAGTCTAGATTACTAGATGTGTCCCTACGTTTAGTCTTGCCACATTGAAATTTTAAATCAGCGATCATTGGGCAGGTTCCATCCATATATATATATATATATATATACATGAAGATTTAAAGTTCGCTATAAACCGGGGTGATGCCTGCGACGTTGGATAATTCTGGTAAAGGGTTTTTTTTTTCTTTTTTACATTTGGAGCTATTTGAACGTGCCTAAATTGGCTTGCACTGACCATAGACGCCTTCCTCGCGTCTAAGCTTTGCGTGTTCTAACGAAATTCAAATACTATCGATAACTGCCAACGCGTAGTTAGCAACACCAGGCAGGAGTTTCGTCTTGGCCTCACCTTTTTGTAATTGTCGCCCGATATTATTGTCCTGGAGTTCAGGCCACCGTAGTAGAATTGGTGTGTGCAACAGACGAGTGTAATAGTTTCAATTTCAGTAAACAACTGCTTTTTCTGTGCCTATGGCCATAGCAATCGCAATAACTATTTAACTTATAATGGGCTGTTGCGGCAGTGGCTATAATGGGGCGAGCCGCGATTATAGACTCGGAGGCATATGTTATGACGAAGGCAAGATGGGGCACTGGAGAAGCGAACTATAAAAGGTAGGCAGCCACGAAAAGTAGAATTGGCCGACGTTCGTCGACAGCTTTTACTGATTCGATTGCTATTCTCTAGCGACATATCGTTTCTGTCGCGGTCTAGGGGGCGTCCAATGGAGCATAACAGTGCGTGATGAACACTTTATACATTTTGCATTACCACTATGGCGTCCATGACCATCGTAATGGCCGAGTTCCGTCCGCCGGTGTGGGTGCAACGCAAAGCAGACTGGAAAATGGAGCTCGTTACGTCCGATTATGGATGTATTATGATAAATGTAATAACGTCTATCTGAGCGAGCTGAAAAAGTTCATCTGTACGTGATGCTAACTCGTTTAGTTCCTGTGGAAGCGCCGTTTTCAGATAGCTATTTAAGCGAACACTATTTCAGGAAGGTAATTCGGTATTAAGAAAACACACTAATGTAGATCGTTGTACAATGTTTTTCTGGGATGAATATGTTTCGTAACAGGTTTCTTATCATACAGTTTAACTATATACCAAGATCTACTCGCGATAACCGTATTTCTATATATATATATATATACATGGATATAATGTAACTGCTAATCGTCTTTGAAGGGGTTTTAGTAAGTGAATTTAGCACCCAGCCCGCCGAACACTTTGAGCCTACGGGCTGGGCCTGATATAGAATTAGCAATTTCTTTAAAAACAAGTAAACACTATATAATAACTATATAAAAATAAATAAGAATTCTTCCAACCGGTTATACATATATCGTATGATTTTATCTATGCAACTAGTTGAGCTATTGAAACGTAAATATCACAGTAGCATTGCGCCCAGCCCAACGCGATCTCGACGTAGCAGGTTCGGCTACGGGTTCCACCAACTCCGTCCAGGTAACAATGGACCGCAGTTCTCGCTAGTGTACTGTTATCAGCTAGAATATCGGCCTATTTTTCTCGGTGAAGACAGTTACTTGCTGCTCCCATTGACTATGCTAGTCTACGGGTTGTTGGATAACGACGTCGCGACTGTGCTTCGCTGAACCTTGTCAAAAAAGAAGATGAGTGTCCCTTCATGTGACCGGGCTCGAACCCGTACATCTGACATTTAATCACTCGAACAGCTGCGATGGCAACGGCTCGCTAGGACGGTGAAAGACATGGGCTTCAATATTAACAATGAGGGAAAAGTGAGATGGGCACAAGCACCCAAGCATCGTTTTAGCGGATGCTAGAGTAATGTCGGGGGCGAGATTTAACGGCTGGCCGAGGTTTTTGCAAAAACTTCTACTGTTATTCAGAGAAAGCGAGTTTAGTGTATATCACAGAGCGGTCCCTCAGTATTCTCGCAGCGCCACTCCATAGACTGTTTGCATATATTATATTTTGTTTCTCGGTTGGTCTGTATTTAATCTGGACCTGTCTATTATTTCCCCTTGTTCATATTCATGTTCCGATTGTGCGGACAAACGCGCGATGGCGGATTTTCGTTAGGCCATAAATGAACGTTCACGTAAATAGACATCCGCGTAGGATAATATTTGAGCAATTCACTGCGATTCGATGTAATTCTGTAGAGACTACTCGTAGCTTAGGTCGAGCTATAACTATATAGAAATAACGTGTTTAACTCGATATTAGTGCTTTTTGAGTTTTTGTTCTTTCTTTCCTTCCTTAGCGCTTTCTGCTTAGTCCTTTCACTGAAGTCGTCCCTTAAGGAACGCACGCTTACATCAAACGTAAGATTTCTTCGCCTCGAGCTGTACCAAATCAGTGTATTCTATTTTACGCGTCCTTCAGGGATCCGCCCCAACTTTGGTGGTTGTCGTGGAACGATCCGTGCTATACAATCCTACAGGTAGTAACACGAATATAGTTAAACCTAGGTCAATTCTCACGCCTATTGATATGGAAAACGGAGCTGCCATGGGATTCACCGACGGAAAGTTTATAGTTGTCCATCGTCATCTTTATCAAAGCCTTATAGAGTCTCGATATGCGCTTGAATATCACATTGCTACACTGAAGAAGCTTTTCTAGTTGTTACGACGGGAAAGGAATCGTTTTTGAGGCTGTAAACATCGTTTTGCTTACGGCGTATCGCTGCTGCTGCTGCTGCTGCTGCTGCTGCCACTTCTGTCGGCATTGTTCGTAACAAAGCACAACGCAAAATGAGCCACACAATCATCCATCCACGCTCAGGTACTTACCGCTGCATCCTACTAGAACGTTAGGCACGCCTGGCCTGACATAGAAATTTGCCAGCCTAAACAGAGAGCGAATACTATAAGGTTCGATACTGAAAAGCAATAGATTAAGGCAGACAGCTCGTTTTGACTATAATATGAGTCAAATTGCCGATTCTGTGGTTACCCTGCGTCCCTATGTTGATGCTGCAGCTGCATTGAACTTTGCCGCACGTTTCGCCCAGAGCGATTTAAGGGGAAACGGAGATAGATGTCGTAGTAAAAATGGAAATGGGCGATGAGCCGTGCGTTACTCTCGATTTGTAACGTGAATCGGTGTTGAATTATTTATTATATTATTAACATTCTCAAGGATTGCGCACTTTTCTACGCGTTTTCACCTGAAAGCTTCGGTAGTAGACGCTATTCCTGCGTACCGATTAGGTCCACGACTACCCTTCTGTCGCGTAACAGTTTGAGTGACGTGATCTGCCACAGGAGCCGTGCGCCATTGGGCAGATCCGCTGTTCAAAATGAGCGCCAAATTACACTCGAAAAACAAATAACTTGATAAGAAATTATAGAAATATTCAGATTCAGCAAAAATTAAACAGTCTGGATTATATAAAAGTGCCCTTCAAATGCATTTATTTTTTTTTATCTTCATTTCGTCCCTTTACCCCAATGTACCTTTACTGTTTCTTCGTTCTTCGCATACAGATTACTTTTCATCTACCTATTTCATCGTATCTGTCTCTTACCAGCTCGAACGTTTCAATTGTATAGAGATTTTTTCCTCTATCCTATATATCTGCAATTGCGTTATACCGAACATTCAGCGTAGTCATTTCATTGCCGACGTATATTCTTTGTTTAATAAACGCTAGATGTACGTTACTACTAACATTAATCTCTTCTTCATTCATGTTTCATTCCTGCTAGTCTAGACGACTCATCGAAATGGACAGATTCCTGTCATTGGGAATAAACGCACGGATTCTGGTAGGATGGCTCATTATCTCCACACCACCGCCGCCGGCTACGATGGTAGTAGCATCGGCGATACACAAACGGCTTTAGTCCGGTAACAAAACTGAAACCTTTTTGCTGCGTAGTCCTTGAGGCGGTGAGAATTTATCATTAGCAACTTAGCGCAGCGAAGTGTTGTACATGTACATCTGCCTGTGCCGCACTTCGGTCCCAAAAAGAAGAAGAAATAGAAGAAGAAAAAAAAAAAAAAAAAAAAAACTATGTTATTCTTTTGGACGCTATCGTTCCCCTTGGTGATCAAACACACATTGAACGTTTGCGTGTACACACAATGACGACACTTTTAGCAGAATTTACCACTTTTTGACAGCGCGTGCTTGTGAAACACTAATTCGGAGATATCTATTGCTCAGTTACCGCAGACTAGCTGATCAGACGACATGATTATGTCATAGGCGAAATGCATAGTGACGGGGCTGTATCAGCGGAAGGGTGTACACATCAGTCAATCTATACGTATAGGTTTAACTAACTTAACAGCCCGATGACATTTCGCAAAAAGTATCTCTCATAACATGTCTATCATTCTAGTAAGATATATTCTAGCGCACTATGGTTCGCCGACCAGTCTAACAAGATATAACGATTTATAGTTCCTCTGTGCACATGTTACATGTTACGGTGTAGTCCTAGCGCGTGTAGCCGTGGAGTCTTCATTCATCTAGATCAGTATATTCATTGTGAGCCAGCTCACACGTAAACGCACCCGTTGACAGTATAATATTTACGACAAAGCAAAATAACGTTCGAACAAACATTAGTGCATCACACAGTGTATCCGACAGAAAATGCGGCACAGCACCGTCGGTAGATAAGGTAACCATTTATATAGGGGTCACGCAGCCAAACTCGCTGGATCGCGTTAGGTCACAATGACCCCAGAAGCTAGAACAACATCTAAATGTTCAAAAGAAACTCCTCTCTGAACGCTACGTTTTAGCTACTATTTTGTCAATGTATATATATATATATATATATATTAGTGCATAGAGGCAATGTTTACAGTTGAAAAATGTCTGTGAATGCTAACGGTGTGCATTTATAAACGGTCGTATATTCATCTAGTAAATGCTTCGAGTTTTATATTGCTAGCAGTTATTCAACATTGCTTTAAAAAGTATGCATATATATATATGTTTGATTGGTTATTAAATTAGTGTGATGTTAATTGATCATTATATGGCTTAATTCAAGCCGTTCAGGGAGGGATATTGGATATAGTTGCTTCCTATGAAACTTTCAGACATGTCACCGGGCAGCGACTGACAATAAGGACTCATTCAGGCCGTTTCCATCTTCTAGGTGAGTTTAGCAGGGTCAGTTGATCGTCTCTTTAGCCGTGACTTAAAGGCAGGCCGCTGTTTGCTGCGAATTATCTAGGTATTTCGAATATACAGGCTTGAGCTGGTAAAAGGGTATACTGCTCTATGACTATAAGTCAGAAGGTAGTGATAGTAAAACTTACCCTAGTATCAGGTGGGCAACGTTTTTCTTATAAACTGAATCTGACCAGTTTCTGCGAGGTGCTAAAAAAGGTTTAGCAGGCACCTATCGACTTAGGCCACATCTCGCTTAAATTTAGGCTAACTAGTAGTCATCTTATTAATATACTTACTGTTGCCTACTATACAACCCTTGTATCGAACGACTTCAAAGGGACTTGTCCTTCATATGCCCAATTCGCTATTTGTTTTTGCACATCTGAACAGATCTAGTCTAGAACGAATTTTTCCGCTAGGAAACCCTAAAGGCCTACGAAGGTATGGAGGCATCAGGTGGATGAGTCAGTTTTGCTAATGATTGCCTTTGTTATACTGCCAAGCGAAGAAAGTAGTTTAGGATGCGCCTTTGCCATCCACTCATATCATACTATCGAATGAAACATGTGGACCTCATATAAGACCAACAAAAAGAAAAAACTTCACGCCGTCTACTCTAGCTTTTTGTTCTCTAACTTTCTATTGGCGTGGCCCTTTGTTTTACAAAAACACAATGGTGACCAACGTACTTTGTCTCAACATCCGTCACATCTTCATTCTTCTTCGGCTGTTACTGTGGCTATTGTCGTACTGTAACGCTGTCGCTTAATCCGTAAAGACGTATCACCCGCAAACTTGCAGACGACGCATTACCCAAAGCAGAATGGCTCGCGTCATAGGACGACAGATGAAGATAATGACGGGCCACCCGTATGTTATCATTTGAGCTTTTTCTTGTCTCGTCATTTATTTGATACATTCGAATGAACGCATTTTTGTGATGGTTCACTTTCTTCCTGGCTCACTTCCGTGACAATGAATTGATGAAGTTTGGTGTACATCGATGTTGGAAGATAGTCGACGATCGCACCTGTTGCTGACAATACATGCATCTCAGATGCGAAAAGGCAGCTAACGCTTTCACAGCTTCACTATTTGAAGACTTCATTCAGTGTATATAATAATAATAAGAAAGTTTCATTTTCGGATCCATGGCTTCGTTTCTATATCAGTCATTTGTATATCACGATAAGGTGAACTATGATGATTAATGACTTTGGTCTATTCAGTCGATAGAGGGATAAAATAAATAAATTATTTGAATTGAATCCATAATCACTGTGAATCAATAATTAAATCACTTAATTAAATCAATTAATTAACAAACTGACATTTAATCCGTTTGTGAATCGTCCGCCTTGATGGTATCTTATCATATTTTATCGTTGTCTCATTTATTCAACAACGTTGCGATGTGAAATTACCATTTAAACGAGACTTGCAGCGAATACGTACATATGTAGATATTCATTATCGCATGTAAACCGAAACATTCAACACAATGTAGCAAAGCTAAAGTAGCATCACTCGAGGTTACCCTTCGAAAAATGTACTTAGAGCGTAGTATCCATTTATTCTAAGCACCGCTCGACAAAAAGTCCGTTGCGTCCGGGAGACTTTGTGTAAGTCTCCCGGACGGAACGAACCTAGACAATATACTGTGTCTGCATAAGCGTCCAATTTACGAAAAAAAAAAAACCAGAAGACAAGAATCTTCTTTAGGAGATTATGAGCGCCTCCAAAGTTCTCACAACGCCTATTTTTCTCTCGTAATTCTCGGTAATTTATCGTGGTAAGTCCGCAACAATTCATAAAACTCGCACAAATCACCCTCTGCAAGAAAGTTCGAGACGGGAGGCAAGCTCTGACAGAAAGGGGTAAAGCTACAAGTGATAAAACCGACTCGAGAAATTTCTGCTCCTGATGTTAGTGCGGTCACAGCAGCAGCGGCGGTTACAACTGTGGTATTGTAAATCGTTTCTGTTAAAGAGGTTTCGTTCAAAGAGGCTTTTAGAATAGACGTCTTGATGAAGTGTTTCCATGCTTCTGCCAGGGTGGGTGAGAACCCCCGGAGGGACGCCGACAGCTTTGCGAAGCTTTTGGCAACGTGTTAGTCAGTAGATCAGTGCCATCACTACAGGTGTCTGTTTATTAGTATATATGCGTGTATGTGTGTGTATTTGTAAGAGGTAAAGGACAAAGGTGCCTTCAATGGACCTCGTTTGCTCTTTGTCACACCTGTTTTGAAAAATCCTCTATTGCTTGGTTTCTATCAGCCTGTCTGTGTGTATCTGTCACTCAGTTGAAGTCACATATTGTTGTCCGTTAGATCTCATATCGATTTAAGACACTATGTCCCAAGATGCTTGTATGAAGTAGGCCACATATATCAACTCAGTATTTTCTTAATGTGTTACGCGGGACACCACGGAAGTGGGTACAGTGCTTCCTACTATCAAATCCCGAGCTAGGAAAGCTGAGGGTCACTGATTCAGGCTCCGCCAATGACATACTATAAGGCAGGTGTGATTAAATGGAGAAAGTGTTAAAATGGTCGGACAGAGCCTGTATAAAACAATAACGTATTATTATAGTTCTTCTGTGTGTTTGTAGCTAATAAAAGCCTGGCTATATTATGCGTCTGACCAACTATTTTATAGCCTAGATATGCATGGCTGTTCTCAAAAGACGATAAATTAGAAATCAGTCTCCTAATTTTGAATTAAATTAGACATAGTTTAACACGATCATATGTACACCGTCCTCATAAAATGGCAGACCCAACAAATATCCCAGTGGACTCCTGTGATAATTTATAGCCAACATCTGTTCTATTATTCTTAAATTTTCAGAATCATATCTTCCCGTTTCCGTTTGTCAACCTGATCTTCACTAAAAGAAACTACGTCGACTGCGGGTGGTAACCGCAACAATGACAAAAAATCACAGCTGATTTTTGACAGCGACACCTTCTCATTACGCTATTCAATCTGAAAGCGTGATCACATGCCCACTGGGGGGGGCAACCTACAGTTGGATTCAGCGATTGATGACACCGGCAACCGGCATCTACCGATTTCTGACAACCATGGCCACCCGTCAAGAGCGACCACGGCAGACCGTAATCTAAAATCGCAGCTACTTGATAGATCCGTCTTTACCTCACTCCATTATTGCGCTCAAAACACACGGAAAAAACATGCCACGGCCGCAACCGCTGACCGATCCGCAAAAAATGTTCGTCATTGTACGCACCGCGCGTTTGGCCAACGCCGACGACGTTCGGTAAGTCACTGTGACCAATGCCCACCATTACCGAGAAGTTTTGAAAGTAATTGATTGACAGTTCATGAAGTCTGCGATGAAGACTATGTAAGCTCGGAAGGGAAAGCTAAACAACAAATCTGCTTCTATCTGGCTCGGTCTGAGCTGTTGGCGTTTGAATAGCCGGAGACCTGCAACGACCGGACAGCTCGTCAGAGCGTATATTCTAACAGTTGCCAGTGCAGTTATGATTTGGATCCTGCTTTATTTCGAGTACCGTCACCGCGGCTGTTGGACGGGAAGGATGCGGCGTAAAACGTGGTGACAAAAACGACCAAATCGACGATGCGCCTATTAGAGCGTCTTTGTTATTGCTTGAACAGAGCTTCAGTAGGTCTGGATATGGAACCTGCGTAAACGAATGTAACCTATAATAGTGGAAGGGCTGAATAATAAAATTGATAGAATAATGATAATGTTTGTCTTGATGGTGCACTGTACTACAGATAATTGAACTTTCGCTGCTGGTAGTCTCTGGTGTTGGACTATTTCGAGCGTTATTATGAATCTATTATTTTGAAAGCCATTGTTATACCTGCTACTGAAGCGCGTCTCGATAAAATCCGCTGTCCGGGGTATATGTCTCCTAGCAAGCTGCTTTCAACCATTTTCTAAAACTGAATAAGATAGCATTGGTCGATTATTTAACACAACTGCTTGACCCAGTTGGACTGATGATTTCTGATTTAAAGGGCTTCAACACAGACTAAATGAGAACGATGTAGCTTCAAACGAAGTGTGTGTGAAGAATCTACCTGAAATGGGAGAGGCTCGCTCTTGCACGTCCCTCATGGTTTCCTGCCTCCGACCATACACCAGCATAGGGAAGTTGCATAATAGCCATTATGGCCGACGTAGGCTATAAGTAAACCATTCCCAATTTTATATAACGAAAATCAGGTCGACACGGTCCAATAGACTGTGCATAACGTGTGCTTTTATATTTATACTATGTGTTAATATATACATTTAATATAGTATACTAATCGATCATGCGGTCATAACTTGCATGGTTTAAAGTATGGGGCTTATGATTCCGATATTGGGTGATAAGTTCTCCACAGAATATTTATAAAACTATCGTTTCGACTAGAGGTAACATTTGACCAGTGCGTAGCGTTTGAATACACTTCAGTACGAAGGCACATCTTATCATGAAGCACATAGCTACAGAACTTTGCTGGCTCTTGTTGACATCGGTTTTTATATATACAGCTAAACCGATCCGTTGAAGCAGACAGACTATAAAGTTTGTCTTGCTAAACTTATCCTTCCATTTTAACTTTTTTCGAAGTAGTCGACAATTTGTCTAGTCTGTCACTTGTCTACGATCGCACGAGAACTAATGCTAACTACAGTGACCTATAGAGCTGCTAATTACATCGTGCATTTTGTGCAGACGAGACGTGTATTATTAAGATGATTTTACTTACCACCGGCGCCGTACGATCTCAAAGTGTTAAACCCTCGAGTTACCGGCTCTAAATGTGACTAAAGAAACTGCTACATAGAAGTTGAGAAACTAGATGATACAACGAATACTGCCCTAACATATTCCGAGAATATGAAACAGCAATTAAGGCTGGCACCTTTATCGACGAGGGCATAAGGTTAGGTTTACGTTAAGTCCGTAAAGAGTGTGTTTCATTTCCAACAAGATGTATACTGAAGCGTAGCATTTTTTTTTAACGAAATAAATGTATGTTTATTTCAGAATAGAACAGAAGAGAGATGATTCACATGGCCGCCCTAAAAAAACAAGCTTGAGGTTTTATCTCAGGAATTTGCAGGAAAAGCCTATTGGAGCGTCGAGTACGTTAACATGTATTTTCCGTTAATTTGATGTATCATTTGTACAGCAGGCATGTTAAAACTGATGTTTCGCCTTCGAAATTCGCCCGTGTCTCGTTGGTCATCTACGTCACAAACAATTCCATGCCACCCCACATAGAAATTCGTTTTGAATTGTGATTTCTATTACCACACATTCATGTGTATGCCATGTCCAGTTTCCAGCCGGATATGTTAAAACTGGAACTTCGCTTGCTTTCGCCGTGTTACGTGTCTACCATTGACATGGCCAAGTTTTCTTACCGCCTCATCCAGAAGTCCTTCAGGGTGTAGATTACCCAAAAATGTGTATCTTTTGGTGCGGCGCGTCACCGTTATAAACACCGAACTGCATTCTGGTCGTGTCATGCATAACCATTCTCATCCTGGACTACTAGCCCCCATTATAAATGTTATACATAATGAACTACAAACATATATACTCATAAATTTCTTAAAGGACGAAAATCACTGATTGTCCCATCCATCAATCAGTCTGCCTTTAGACACCGCTTACATATCAACCCGCCGCGTCGATCCACCTCTGCAACTCTAAACTTCGAGGCCTTCTTCAAATTACGGCTCACGAACTTCCTTTTCCGTTGTGGTTGTTATTCACTAATGCTACTACCCTCGACTGCGGTCCTCTCGCATCACACCTACACAAGGGCTAGCCCGTTGGTCTTTTTAGATACCAACAAAATCCGTCGCTTTGGCAATTGCTCCCCCGAGGAATCAGAGGCACGTAGTTTGTCTTTCGATCGGAACGAAAAAATAATAGCTGAATGATACGTGCGCCCCTATGTCCGAAGAAGAGAGGAGTCCGCTTTCGTCTCCCTAGTCACATCCGTTTATAAATAGCATTTTGCGTCGAGCTCTCGCGATGTTACCGCCCGCCTCGGTGCCTTCGATGGATCAGCATCAAACGAAGTCCTACGATAGCAACAAATAAATATGGGGGCAGGTTCTGCCCTGCCACAGCCCGGACGCTTGACCGCTCGGATCAGAAATGTGTGAGCGGCGACAACATCTATGGAAAGATACTATGATCGGTACGGAAAAGTGGATCAGATGATAGTTACTTACCGGTGCCAATCCGACGATCCGTACCACATGTTAAACGTTCTAAGCAGTCTGTGCGTGCTAAGTAAATACGGTGCATCCTATCGATCATTCAGTTTGGAGAGAAAGATCGAGCTGGTCACATCGAATCGAGAACGCATCTTAAAGTAAAGGGAGTAGAAAGGGAGAACCATATAAGAACTGCGAGAAAAGGGCAGGTGACAACGATATAAATAACCTAAAGCGTTTAATTACATTCATAGTTATATTAAGCGTGAATAGAGATAGTCCATGTGTGACCGAAACAACTAAGACCAACAGATTTCACTCGGCAATATTATTTCTTTTTTACGGACCTACTTTACGGGTACAGGTAGATGTGAGCATTGTAATATATTACCGTTGTTAATTGAAAAAGCGTAAGTCTACAACAATCATACTCAGCCGTTGACACTACTGGACGTTACGGCCTGACAACTATGCGGTACCCGGCTCCGTAAGTGAACCTGTGTTTCTATATTCGCTTAGTTTTTACTGTCAATTCTTCTAGAATCTCAACGAACGTCTCGAGAAGAAGCATAATTTAGCTATCTTCAGTCGTTACTATCATCGGTGTCTGAATGAGTAACGGAACCGACGGACGTCTAAATGGACGTTGCGGCATAAATCAATTCTGCAGTGATTAACTCTTGCAACCGCTATACGACACGATGTGACCGCTCCATCTGCTAATTATAGACTCCAGTCTTTTTCTATTGTAAACCTACGTAAATCGCGAACCATTTGCACACAAATGCACTATCGTCTTGCAGCGAAAGCGTCCGTAGTAACGAGACGCCAGCGTCGTCCTGGACTGCTTTGGTCGTATGTATGGCTCACTTATACGGGGACGCTAAGCTTCCAGGGCTCAGTATCCAGTAGAAGCCATTAAATCGGCCAGGCCAGAGCAAAACCGAGCGCAATAGATCCTACAGGAAAAGAGGAAGTGAGTTTTTTTGCTGAATAATAGACAAAAGCGATCACGATGTCGGCTGGTTCTAAATCACAACTGAACGTCTCGCTAGGAACGCCAGCGCCAGTGACAGTAACAACGACAGCAGCGACAGCGGACTGATGCGGGTCAGAGCGAACATTAACTTTGTTCCTAACAGTAAATCGAGGCTCACGCCACAAGATCATATCGTGGACGACAAACGTTCGTCTAAGCATACATGGACTCATCATACGCTTTTCTGCGATGGTTTTATCACACAAATGTCAAGTGCGGTAGGATAAAGTAGGGGGCCTGCGTCTTGCTAAACACTACCGTCAACATTTGCAGTGATGCGTGAATTCTGCTGTCAAGGGTTGCCCCCTGGCGAGAACCTGAATATTTACACACGACGTAATGAAGTGAAACTTTACATAGGTATGTTATAATCGGACAAAGACCGGGTTTGACTGGGCAATCAGTGTTTATCCACTAATCGTCTACGAGGTCGTCTATGATCTTTCGAATGTTACGCCCGGTATTGGCGTTAGGCATTTCATGAGAAAGACGGCTGTCTTCCAGCACGAAACGAATAGTCTATCTATGCTCTAGATATCGAAAAGCTACACGATCTGTATTAGCCGTTCGAACATATGAATCACCGGTAGTAATGTAACACGAATGACTAGGTAGTTTTTATGCACCCGCCTTCAATGCGTTCATCTGAAATAAGGACGCGCTCAAATGAGACAAATAGGCCCACTACTAAAAGCCTCAGCTTTTGTAAGTGTAAATTTTAGATTCGCGTGAAGTTGCCAACGTCACTTACGAACTCGCAAGATGCAGGATCACTGTAAGAATAAGTTCTATATAAACGTTTCACTAATACGAATGAACTGTGTGGGCATGAATAATGTCTGAGATCGACAGATAGCACAAAGTTACTCAGGGGAATGACAATTATTGCAGACCTGCATCAACAGCACTCTCTTTAGCATTCGGCTATGTGTCTACAGATAAAAGGCGTATGTTTTCTATTTTAGTTCGGTTCGTGGGGTGACTTTCAGCTAAAATGATCCACGTATCTTTTTCATCGATAGCTATCTCTTCCAATTTACAGCCTAAGTATTTGCAACGAGATCACTAGCATCATCGCCAAAAGTTCCACGCGTATCCGCTTAATCATTAAACAATAAGCAAAATAACGTCTGAGAATAGATACATTTTACAGGACGGTTTCGCGCCTGTCGCACAAAACACTGTCCACGACATGTCCTTTTTTTTTTATTTTAACTAACCGCTAGCTGCCATTCGACTAACGCTGGATATCCAGTGCGTTGAAGTGTAGACAAATGATAAGTTTCGCTATTATATATATAAAGGCAATATAGGAAGTAAGAGGAAACGGCAGTCATACGCTTAACGACAATGCATAGCGATGGACTCTTGATGAAACAAGGTGGTCCTACAACACCAGAACACAGTTGTCGTATTAATGAGCTTACAAGAGCTCGGCATAAAGTAAGAATGCTGGACACCGGGGTGGCTTATCCATTGGCGTGACCCGAACAACGTTACGGGTCGGTTACGAGCAATTATGAGGAGATCGCGTCCAGTCGACGCAACAAATCTATAGAGCCCAGCAGACCATTAAAGCGGTCACCACACAGCGCCACCTTGAGCCGTGTGTAACCATTCGGTGACCGTCTGCAGTCACAGACAGACAGTGCCAGACCCCGCAAGATCCTCAGAGAGCGGTTCCATTGCAGATGTAGAGATGCATCTTATTGTTTCAATGGGGACGTGTTTAGTCTGGCCCATTTCACTGCGGTGGTATGGCGTATCGATATAGCTACCTGCGGAGTTTCACAGCTTCGCCGTACCGAAGACATAAAATCTCGAGCTGGATCTGAAACAAGGCACTGAAAGTGGAGCATGAACTGAAATGGACAACACAACGAATAAAGTTGAAAGTCTGTTAGTTTGTGTAACGGAACTCGACAACAAACGTAAGTTGCAGGTTGGCTACAGCAGCATTGAACAG